GGAACCATCAGCCGAGATGAAAGACTCTGTGTTACACACACCAGAGGCCGGGTCAGACCAGATGTGTGCTCCAGTGGTGGCTTTGTGTGTCTTTTAGTCCCAATTTGTTCAGAGCGGCCTTTTCTCTGCCAACAGAATTCATGGCAGGGGACTCATCCCCATCTACATGTGGTTAAGCTACAAAACTTACCATCTGAGGGTTTTGGGGGTTTTTTAAAAACATATTTTCGTTGGAATCACATTACAATGCATTAAGTTGCATATTTCCTGTCTCATGAGCTCTCTGGGTTTTTCTCTCACCTTTTAAAACGTGGTCAGCACCACAAGCTCCTGGGGGCAGAGGTGTGTGCGTCCTGCTTGCTCATCCCTGGAAAGTGAACCCTGCAGTGCCTGCTGAGGGGTGATCTGGAGACTGGAGAGGAGGCCTGGGAAGCAGCTGCTGTCTTCTGCATCTGTTTGCTCTGGGAAAATCCTTTTCTCTAGTTCTGTTTCCTCTCCCTTGTACATCAGCTGGGACAATAATGCCAAATTCAGTAGAGCAGGAGGTTTACCGGTGCTGCAGAGGTACCCGGAGTGAGCGTACGCAGTTAGATGTGCCTGAGCATGGGGCTGAGCAGCTTTCCCTGTCCTGTTCTGTGGGGATTCACGCTGGATATGTTCCAGAGCTTTATTCAGTTCAGAGGCAAACACTCCAAAAGATTGTGTTTGCAGTTTTCACAGTCTTGCAAAGCCCCTCACCCTGGCTTCTGCGCTGCTCTTGTCCCCTTTGGAACCTGGGAGTGTCCTCGCCCTGCTTGGTGCTTTCGGCAGTACAAGAGGAGCTCTGCTGGACTCCAATATTCTCTTCTTTTTCCAGGCTCTGTTTAACCTCCTGATCCCAGATCACGCTGCAGACGCCTTCTCTCCGCCTCGCCTGTCCGAGCCTGGCCTGTGGGACATGCTGGTGGAGCAGCTGCTGGGAGGCCTCTCGCACTGGGACGCAGAGCACTTCCTCTTCATCGCCGAGCACGGTTACCTGTACGAGCACAACTGCGCCTTCTTCCCGCTGTACCCCCTGAGCGTGCGTGCCGTGGCCGAGGGCACCCTGTGGCCCCTGCAGCAGCTGCTGCGGCGGGGGGGGCCCCCCCCCCTCTCCCCCGTG